CCTGTGGCCCCCTAGAAACATGATGAGGCTTTGTTGTAAATTCTAATACTCTGCTAATGTTGCTTATGGATGCCATATTTTAATGGCTCTTAATAACTCACAAAATATAGCAGTTAATGCTATATGAAATTCCCTGGAACTGCCTGTCATTTGATAGGAACTAAAGAAAGAACTTGTATTTCAGCATCTGAATTGGAGGATCCTCATAGTCCACCCATGAGGAGAGGGCCATCCTTTGATGATCATACCTCTCCCCCACACCTTCCTACTCAAAGTATAGTCCGTAGGCTAGCACCATAAAGGAATTTGTCAGAAATGCTGATCCTTAGGCCCTACCTAGGCCTTCCTAATCAGAATGTACATTTTTACAAAATCTTAATATGTATGCATGGGAAAATTAAGAGGCACTGTCAGTTTTAGAAGACTGTGTACCTAGGAAATATTCTGAATTCTAATAGGACTTCTCCAAAAGTAGTATGATTGAGTTTAAAAAGTCCTTGATCAGCAATTCTACCCATCAAAAGATGAGTAGTTCAGATCTCACAAAAAGCAGAGAAATATTCCAACAAATGTGGAAAAGATATTCATAAAAAGACAGTAAGAAAACCATAAAATTCTTAGAAGAAAACAGGGGGAAAGCTTCATGATATTGGATGAGGCAATGATTTCTTGAATACGACACCAAAAGCACAGGCAACAAAAGTAAAAATAAACTGAACTACATCCAAATTAAAAACTTTGGTACATCAAAGGACAACAGAGTGAGAGTGCTACCTATGCATGCAATGGGAGAAAATATTTGTAAGTCATATATCTGATAAGAAGTTAATATCCCGACAGATGAAGAACTCCTACAACTCAACAACAAAAAAACAAGTCTCTTGAAAAATGGACAAGGGGTCTAAAGAGACATTTCTCCAAAGAAGATATGCAGACAACTAACAAGCACTTAAAAAGATAGTCAACATCATTGGTTGGTCCCTTTGGGCTACTATTAAACTGCATCGACTGGGTAGCTTACAAATGACAGAAATTTATTTCTCCCATTTCTGGAGACTGGTTAGTTCAAGATCAAGGCACCAGCATGGTTTTGTTCTGGTCCAGTCTGCTTCCTGATTCATAAGATGGCTGTCTTCTCGTTGTGTCCTCACATGGTGAAAAGGGCTAGAGATCTCTGTGGGGTCTCCTTTATAATACACTAATCCCATTGATGATGGCTCTATCCTCATGACCTAATCACCCTCCAAAGGCCCCACCTCTTAATACCATCAGCTTTGGGAGTTAGGATTTCAACATACGAATTTTGAGACAGTAACATTCAGACCATAGCACTAGTCGAATGAAAAACATAATGAGATACTGGGTTCTTACCCATTAGGATGGCTGTTTTAAACAACAACAAAACAGAAAACATGTTTTGTCAAGGATGCAGAGAAACTGGAGCCCTTGTGCATCACTGGTGGGAATGTAAAATGGTGCAGCTGCTGGGGAAAACAGTACGGTGATTGCTGAGAAAATTAAACATAGAATTAGTGCTAAATTAGCTTATAAAGGCTGGCACATGAGGTAGACAACACAGAGAAGGCACAAGGAGGGCTTAGGGATGCCTCGTGTGAGCCTGGAGTTCAACTCTTGTACTTCTTAGGTAATGTGACTGGTCTTGGAGACAGTCCTTTAGCCTCGGTTCCTATGGTGCATCGACCATTCCAACACTGCAGCCACAGGCCAGTGAGAAGTGGGTCTACCAAGACAGAAGAGCCCAGAAGCACAGAGGGCAGTAAGTGTTATGCAACTCCTTCGTTCTAACACTTTGGCTTCTTTTTCACTATTGTTCAAATACAGTAACTAACAATATATTTTAGCATTTACAAAGCACTTTTGCTAGAACATCATGTGATGTTTAAAATTTTGCCCCCTTTCTTAATATCAAAGATAATTATTTCCTCCTCCTGTTTGTAAGTTGCTTAGCACATCTTCACACTTTCCCACTTTATTTTACTTACGTTTTTCACAGAATTTAGTAGAAGGGAGGAGAATGGAAAATAGAACAAAGAAAGTGGAATCTTTCCATTGTGACTTAATTTTGTAGGACATTGAGGCAAGTTAGATGCCTCTTGAACTCCTTCTGAGTCCATTTCAGAGAACTTTCAAAGGGAACTTCAGAAAGCCAAACCTCAGGTCCTAGATGATGATAGGCATTTTTAAATATTAAGGGAATTGGCTCCAGTGTACTTGAGTGAAAAAGATTATCTCACCTACTTGAAGAAAATGAGGTTTGAAAACTCAAAGGGCAAAAATCACTTAAGGTAAATAGCAGGGTGTTTGAGGATTAGCACAGCTAAAGTTTCCCAAGCATTCGTCTAGTATTATTCTTTAAAAAAAAATTGGCTTAAATATAAGCAAAATAGCTAAGGGTATGATCCTCATTACTTTGTAGTCACACCTTCTAATCTACGATGACGACCAAAGTGTGAAGAATAGTTTGAAAAGCACCGTGACACTGAAAGATGCTGACCAGCAGAATACTGAGGCGGGGGGAAAGGATCAAAATCACCAAAGATTCCACTTCAAGTGATCATGAAAACTCTAGATCAGGATGGCAATTGTTTTTTGGCTGATTCAAATTTTAAGAGTTCACTGTAAATTCTATACATACATACATACACACACACACACACACACGCGCGCGTATATATACATATATATATTTAGTAATTTTAGCTTCTCCCGTTATTTTTAAAAACAGCTTTATATTTTAATTTATGTATTTATAAAATTTTATAACTATAAAAATATTTCAAAAAGTCAGAAACATAACACTTTTTAAAAAAAGAAAATAAATATTACCAGTAAAACCCAGCACCAACCTTTATAATCCATTTATAAAAATTCCTTCTATGGTTTTTGAGTGTTATCTCTGTCCCTATCCTTGTTCACCCCCTTGTGGCCATGCTATGAAGAAGCCAAGGACCAGGCAGCAAAAAAGAGAGAAAGCAAAAGTCCTGAATAATAAACTGATCACCTCTCATTTTAACAATATTTTCCGTAATTAAGACAAGCAGGTCTCCTTGAAATCTACATGGGTCAGGGTCTTGGAGGAAACAGATGGAAGACTTGAAATGGTGATTGTAAATTATCCCTTCATTAAACTTCTTGGAAGTATAGGCATTAGGTAAGGGAAACTAAAAGGGATGTCCAACTGATACTTCCTGTTGGCTGAACCCAACTGGAAGCACTCAGAGGGCAAAGGAACCAAGCTTTTGCAGTCCTTCAAGGTCCAACCTTCCAGGACACAAAGCAGAGCAAGCGTAGAAAATGGATCTGGCTGGCCAAACAGAGCACATCCAGTACAAAATCTTTCTATAATATTTCATTATAAGTACAGTTTCTTTTGCAAGGCATGAGTCCAAGGGCTACATTATGGAATAATTCTTGTATAATTTTTTGTTGAATATCTATGCAATTCCTGCGGTCTACTTGGAAAACACCAATGATAACAGAATTTCACACTACCTGAAAATAGTACTTAGGCTTCTCTCCTCCATCCAATGCCTGTGCAGAGGTATAAGCGTGGCAATTGAGGGGTCAAATCATTGGATACTTCAGTTTTAGAGTGACAGTAAGGTAGGGGAATAGAGAAAGGCAGAAATGGGGATAGAGAGAGTTCAGTTGCTGTGTGCTGCAGGTCCTCTCCCACCCTTTGCCCCACATAAGAAGTAAACTTTCCAGCTTTTACTTGAGGTAATAGGACCAATACTGATTACCTATTAGTCAAACTGAACATGTGCTTAAGACACCGGCAAAGCAGGATCACCAAAAATATATGAAAGAAAATGAGAGATATTTGGGATGATGCTGTTTTTATTTCAGTATATTCATAAATTTTGTACCATTTTAGAAATGTATAATTTAACTTAATAGTTTAGCATAGTTTTTACGGTTCGTGTTGATGGGTAGCACATGACAATCTTTTTAGAGCATCCCTGTTCCTTCCAAAGAGTAAATGTGAAGAAATGGCTATCTTCAGAAGACGTAGGGAAAGTACCTCTAAGCAGCAGTTGCTGATGCTCAGAATAGAGTATGGGCGGTCACCCCCCCCCACCGGCGACTGCGTCCCTACCCCCAGGGGTTCAGGGTACTTGGCTCTTTTATCTCTTTTTTCAACTTTTGTCACTCCTCTCTGGGAGGCGAACTCTAAGAGTGGTCAAGTCTAAGGCCAACAGAAACCCTGGGCAAGGCACTTTCCTTTCTATCATAAGGAAATGAAAGGACTGGAGCGGATGGTCTCTTAAATGTTGGCTTAGCCCCCATTATCAACATTGACAGGTTTTCCCCACTCATCACGGCAAAGCAACCAAAACTGGACGAATGGTGTAATGTAGATAAATAAAAGCAGATAAATGCCCTCCAACTCTTATCCTTTTCACCAGAGGCAATCCTTACTAAATAGTTTACTTTTTTTTCCAGCTATTTTTCCATGCAGAGTTATTATTTCCATTAAACAAACGGAAGACTTTTCATCTTACACGTCTTGGGGAATCTCTAGAAGTTTTTAATTTTTAATTTTTAATTTCAAGGAGATCAAGTCTTTAATGAAAAAGACATAAAGGGCAAGTGCATTTTCCATTATGCTTGTACAGTATATTCAATCGTTAGTCTAGAAGTTTTTTAAACGCTCTTTTCTGGACTTTTTTTTTTTTTTTTTTTTTACTGAAGTCGGAGCCTCATTTGCAGACACTACTTCAGAGCCTTAGTCCCTCTCAGTCTTAATCATCTTTTACCCCCGTGAGATCCTCCGTCTCGCCGATGGCCACAGAAACCCACGCTTCACCACTTTCGCTTTGTCGGCGGCCCCCTTAAGCGGCGCTCCCCACACCGACCTCCGACTCGGAGAGCGCCGACTTCGCTGCCACACTTCCGCCTCGCAAGTTGATTGGCCAAAGACTGCTGCGCTCGGGTTTGAGCCCACAGCTCGCGCCGAGCCCGGCGCGCAGGGATGACGACATCGGGCGGCGGCGGCGACGGCTAGAAACGGGGAGGGTTTCCGGGGCTGCCGGCCTGACCGCCGAGAGCTGTCATGGCGGCCTCTCTGTGGGGCTTCCTTTCCGTCCTGCTGCTGCTGCTGCTATCAGGGGATGCCCAGAGCTCGGAGGTGTCTGGGGCTACTGGCGAGGGGTCAGGAGGGAGTGGGGTCGGCATAGGAGATCGCTTCAAGATTGAGGGGCGTGCGGTTGTTCCTGGGGTGAAGCCCCAGGACTGGATCTCGGCCGCCCGAGTGCTGGTAGACGGAGAAGAGCACGTCGGCTTCCTTAAGTGAGCATCCTGAGGGCAGGCGAAAGTGGTTGGGATGGAAGCTGGAAGGGAGTTCCCCCTAAGGGAGTTGAGTGTCAAGACCTGAGGACGTTGCTCTGCGAGGGTGAAGGGGCGGGTGCTGCTGGCGGTCTGTGCCTGAAGACCTAGAGAAGCAGTCAGACGCTTTCCCCTTCCCAGCCCTGTACCTCAAAAACGTGGGTGGCAGGTGCTCGCCCTAGGGCTGGAGCAGTGAAGTCACTTATCATTCAACTCCTTTTTGGTTCTGGTTGGGGACTACCATTCCTGGGCTCTGGGAACAGTTGGACCCCGTATTTTTCTTTTGCGGAATTCTTTCCTTTGCGATTCATCTGGCTTCCCTGGAATCTGGCCTCATTTTGCATTCATTTCAGTCTTTCGGTAGCTTCGTGTTGTGTAGAAAGATGCTAAGCAAGTGGGAATTCTCAAAGCCCACAGGGCTTCCAGTGATGACATAGACTGGGAGGCTAATGTTGCTGCTTCTAAGATTAATGGGCCCTGAAGTCCCTAATCAAAGCACGTTTTTTGCCTGGAGGTGGGATTGTTCTTTTTTTTTGTACTTGTGTTCATCGAGGGATTTGTAGCATCACATTTGTCATTTATGCGAGACTAGGGTTTCTCTACGGTGCTTACACGCTTCTGTCCTTTCTAGCTACTAGTAGAAATGGAATTTGAGTCTCTGTTAAATGAGAGTGGATTTATTAGCAGTCTAGTTTTGCAGCAGCCTGCTTTTCAGTGTCTAGGCACACGTATGATGTTTTAAATCTTTCCATCGCTGCTTGGAAAATGAAACTGCGAATTGAAAATATTTGGGAAAGGAAGTGTTTCTCTTGGGCTTGTATAGCAAGTGGTGTCTGAAAACCAGACAATTTAAATGCGGATATTTAATTCGAAATCTGATTTGCAAATATTCAGATTATCTGGGTGCCTTAGAATGAGAATTTCAACCTCAGATTAATAATGACAGGAAGCTTATATCCATTTTTAAAGTACTGTTTATCATTAAAATCTGGCATTAGGGCATTCTTTAGGTTTTACCCCAATAAATGATGTTTTAACGATAAAGCTCTCATTAAGCTTTGGAAAATTAGCCATAATGAACTGTTTGACCTCTCTTTTTTTCTTCTGCAGTGTATAGTTTTTTAAAACAGCATTTATTATTTTTGTTTGAAAATAATATATAATTAATATGTTTATCAAAGAAAAGAGAAACAAGAAAGTAGAGATACCAGCCCCTAACATTTTATTGTATCTTTTTTGGAATCATATGACCTGTTTTTAATAACAAAATACAATATACAGTACTTTGTAACCTGCCTTTTTTCATTTAATATTTTGTGAGCAGCTTGTGATACCATTTCATGTTCTTTCATTTGTGTGTAGAGAGGTTAATTGAGAATTAATATGAAGAGCTTATGGTGGCAGTCTTGTTGGAAGAGAGATAGGAATTTTGTCTTGTACCTAGCGTACTAGCATGCCATTTTGACTTAGATTTATGCTTGTTGGAGGTGGTTTGGGACTCGGCCAAATGAATTGCGGGGGAGTTTCAACTGACGACTCCTCATGCCACTTGCTCTCACCACTGTGTATAAATAAACTGTAATTTATTTAGCTAGTTCTGTTTGGGGACATTTAGGTAGTTCTCAATTTTGGGGAATTATGTACTTTATGTTCTATATGTAAGATTATGCAGTATAATTTTTGAACTTTTTATTATGGGAAATTACAGGAAACATAAACAGAATAGCTTAGGAACCCATCACAATCTACTATTTGATTTCATGTCTCCTCTACAGCTCATTAATTTGTTTCTGGAATATTTAAATTTCATCTTAAACAGTAAAATTTCACTTTTAAAACACTATTATGAATCTATGAAAGATAAGGGCTTAAAAAAACCCTACCAAACCATTATTGATTCAACAAGGTAGATAACAGTGCCATAATATCATCAATACCCAGTCCATATTTGTCTCCCCACTTATCTCAAAAATGCTTTTATGTAATTATTTCACATCAAGATCCAATAGTGTCTACATATTGTAGAGTACATTTTAAAAACCAAATTTTCATTATAAAATTTTCAAATTTCATTACAAAATGTCTATGTTATCTTTTAAAGTAAAATATTTACCTTAGGATGAAGAATATATTTGCTTTTTCTTTAGGTTATTAGCTCTGTTATTTATTTTGCACAATCATTAATTTAATTCTCTTTCTGGATCTAGAAGAATGTTTTGAAATTTGTTCACTTAGGGTCTCATCAAGAAACAGAAGGGACACTCAAATTAGAATAACTAAAAGAAAGTTTAATGAAAAGATTAAACAGAGTAGTCATGGTGTAGGAAAACAACCAGATCATGCAGCACCCTAGAGTTTACAAGCCCAAGGTTATATCACCTCTAAGCCTGAAGGGAGGAGGGGAAGTAAAGGTTACAGGAACCTAGGAGGGAGGAAGGAACTACCTTGAGAGGAGCTGTGCCCCTTGACACAGTCAGAGGTGGCCTCTCAGGGAGAGAGCCACAGGGAAAACACACTAAACTTATTTTCTTCACTTCCTCCTGTCTGTGAGAGAAGAGTGGGGAGTGATCTGAGGCGCAAACAGAAGACATCCAGTCCAGGAATAAGTTAACTTGATGTTGCCATTTCAATTCTGTTTCAGTTCAGTGTATTTTAAAGTAGCAAGGAACACCTTTTCCTCTTACTTTTTAGTAAATATTGGGGATGTGGCAGAAAGAGCCTAATGCGAAAGAGCCTAATGATTTATGGAGCACTATTTTAACATTGTTATGAGACTGGCAATTCTCTGATAAAGACAGTCCTTTTAGAACCATTTGGTCTCCTGAAACAAACTTCTTTTTCCTCAGAATAGCAGTTTCTCATATAGCAAAACTAATTGATTTTGATTTGTGAATGTGAAATTATCAGATGGGATGGTTTTCTAAGTTGAGAAGGTTTAGAAGAAATCAGTAAGGGAAAGGTGGATGTTTTCAACTACATAAAAAATTTTAAACTTCTACATATCCAAAAAGAAGTTTTAACTTTGGTTAAAGTAAATGGGAACTATTTGTAACAAATAGAGCAAATAGTACTTTATCACCTTTTTGTAAAGAAGAAAAAAGAAGAAAACAAAATGCAAATTAAAACTAGGGGGAAAAAGCCATTTTTAAATAAATTGTTGGAGGGCACTGGCAAAATTAGAACCCTGATATTGTAGGAATGGAGCATATTATTCCCTTGAATAAAGACATGGCTGTAGAATTGGAATTGTTCTCCTGTCACCTGTCACCTCTCTTGCAGAAGGAAAAGAAGTACTTTCAAGGTCAGAGTTCTTTGCTCTGTGGAATGGTCTGGGGTATTTTCAGAACCCATGCAGTATAATTATGGAAGCTGAAGTGTGGGACAACTCTTGCCAGTTTTTGGTTTTTGTCTTTTTGCTAATTACTCTGGATGTCATTTGGAGGGTGTTGGTTTGGGAGTTAACAGATGATGTATTTTATTTCATTAAAAAATTGAAGTATAGTTGATTTACAGTGTTTTAGGTGTATAGCAAAGTAATTCAGTTATATATATATGTGTGTATATATATATAAAAATCTGTCCTTTTTCAGATTCTTTTCTGTTACAGATTATTACAAGATAGTGAATATAGTTCCCTGTGCTATACAGTAGGCTGTAGTTAACAGATGATTTAAAACATAAGAAAAGAATAAGCTGTTGATTGGAAGTGACTAAATATGATTTTCACTTTTGCAGGACAGATGGGAGTTTTGTGGTTCATGATATACCTTCTGGATCTTATGTAGTGGAAGTTATATCTCCCGCTTACAGGTTTGATCCTGTCCGAGTGGATATCACTTCGAAGGGAAAAATGAGGTGAGGACAACTGATTTAATTTTTACCAAAGGCTAGGCTACTGAATACCTACCTCATTATGTATTCCTTTTAGAATTTATAGTTAAAGTTGAAAAGCTTCTCATTTAAACTACAGACCTTTTTTAAAAAACACTTACAACATCCTTCTGTTGTTTTAATCTGAACATTGGTAATATTGTAAACTTTAACTTCCTCCTGCTCTGGCTTAGAATTTATTTTAAAGCTCTTAATATGATTATATGGAAGAGAAGTACGTTTTCTTACTATGGGAGCAAAGGCACTGTGAAAGTTATCATTGAAATACTATTATTAAATTGGGAAGTAGTTTAATTTTTCTAAGTTGAAAGTATTCATCATCTGTTTTTCATTGGGATACTTTGGTGAAACCTCTTAGTGCCTATATAAAAGTTTGTTGATCTAGAAATTTCTGTAGTTCTTCCTTTCTAGAATATTTGATGTGTAATGGGAATTGAGTATTTCTTTGGAAAACAATAGATAACATTGTGGAGTTTATCTAAAAGTGAGGATCAAAATAAGAAAAAGAAAAGTACAGTATTAGAGGCTGGCAGACTAAGAAAAAGTTTCAGAATTTCTAAGCAGATGAACATACACTTTGAAGTCAAGGTGAGAAGAATTTTGGACTAATTCAGGCTGTGACTCTGGAATACCACAAACCTGTTTGAAGTTAGAATCAGTTGTGTAGAGGTCCAGTGTTCAGATTCAGCCTTCTGCTGTTATAACCCCAATTTATTTACTTGTTTATTTTGTGATTGTCTCATGCCAGTAGTGCTCTCTTTGGTCTAATCTGACCAGGAAGTATAGGAAGCAGTTTTCTTCCTTGCCTGCTTGCTTTCTTGAGGTGTAATTGACAGATGTGAAACAATTTTAATTGGTAATGTCTCTTCTTCGTTTGAGCTATCACAGAATTCCTCCATGTTTCAGTAATCAAGAAGAGGTCATGAAAAGACAAAAATAGTTGAGGGGGTTGGAGGAGCTATATTTCACTGCTGACCTTTTTGTTCTGTACCTGGCATATTTAGGTTGATTTTTTGAGACCCCAAATGGAGCTGACATAAGAGAGAGATGTTCGATTACTACCATAATATTTACGTTTGAGTTAATGTTTACTCCTAAAATGTTTCCCTTGTTCCTTTGGGGTTTTTTTTTGGTAATTGAAAGTTTTTAATGTGTAATATATAAATATTCTATAGTTAAAATAGTAAGTCATATATATAACATCTCACCCTTTATATCAGCTGCATATTAGTCCACTGATGGCAATTTCTATTGATGGACATGTAGAGTTTTCTTCTTCCTCTTTTTTAAATTGAAGTATAGTCAACTTACAATGTTGTGTTAATTTCTGATGTATAGCATAGTGATTCATATATAGATAGATAGATAGACTGACTCCTTTTCATATTCTTTTTCATTATAGGCCATTACAAGGTATTGAATATAGTTCCCTGTGTTATATAGTAGGATGTTATTGTTTATCTATTTTATATATAGTAGTTAGTATCTACAAATCCCATACTCCCAGTTTATCCCTCCCTACCCTCTTCCTCCTCTGGTAACCATCAGTTTGTTTTCTCTGTCTATGAGTCTGTCTCTGTTTTGTGAATAAGTTCATTTGTGATTTTTTTTTTTTTTTTTTTTTTTTTTTTTTTTTAGATTCCACATATGAGTGATAGCACATGGTTTTTTTTTCTCTTTCTGGCTTACTTCACTTAGAATGATGATCCCCAGGTCCATCCATGTTACTGCAAATGGCATTATTTTATTCTTTTTTTTATGGCTGAGTATATATACCACAACTTGTTTATCCATTCATCTGTCAATAGACATTTAGGTTGCTAATATGTCATGGCTGTTGTAAATAGTGCTGTGGTGAACATTGGGGTTCCTGTTTCTTTTTTAATTAGAGTTACAAACAGCTCATACAACTCAATAACAAAAAGACAAACAACCCAATCCAAAAATGGGCAGAAGCCCTAAACAAACATTTCTCCAATGAAGACATACAATAGCCAATAGGCACATGAAAAAATGCTCACTATCACTAATTATCAGAGAAATGCAAATCTTTTTCCTCTTTGAGAATGCGTAGTCAGCAGAGACAGTTATTCTGTGATAATTTAAATTCTTGATATTATTATTAAAACTGTTACCATAATGACACTGAAAGTATGTATAGTACTTTGTATCTGCAAATCCCAAACTCCTACTTTATCCCTACCCACCACCCCTTTCCCCTTTGGTAACCATAAGTTAGTTTATATGTCTGTGTATCTTTCTGTTTTGTAAGGAAGTTTATTTGTGTCATTTTTTAAGATTCCACATATAAGTGATATCATATAGTAGGATATGCTTTCTCTTTCTGTTTTTCTTAGTATGATGATCTCTAGGGCCATCCGTGTTGCTGCAAATGGTATTATGTTATTCTTTTTTATAACTGAGTAGTATTCCATTGTATACATTCCACATATTCTTTGTCCAGTCATCTGTCAGTGAACATTTAGGTTGCTTCCATGTCTTGGCAGTTGTAAGTAGTACTGTTATGAACATTGGGGTGCATGTGTCTTTTTGAGTTAGAGTTTTCTCTGGCTATATGCCCAGAATTGGGATTGCTGAATCATATGGTAAGTCTGTTTTTAGTTTTTTAAGAAATCTCCAGACTGTTCTCCATAGTGGCTGCACCAAATTATATTCCCATCAACAGTGTAGGAAGTCTCCCTTTTCTCCACACCCTCTCCAGCATTTATTGTTCATGAACTCTTTTAACAATGGCCATTCTGACCAGTGTGAGGTGATACTTCATTGTAGTTCTGATTTGCATTTCTTTGATAATTCTTTTCCTCCTATTTTTTAAATTGTTGTCTTAGAATATTCTACTTTATCCAGATTCTAATATTTCTTGCTATTGGCTATTCAGAGCAAGAGTGAAGCTTGGTAATACCTTGCAAATATGTTTAGAAATATTTTTTAATGGAGTAAATGGATTGTTTCAGAGTAATCGAACTTCATTAGCTGTTGACTTTCTCATGTCTTTTTATAGGCATAAAACTAAAAAAAATAGGTAAAATTCTAGTATGTTAAAATCTAAACTGTAGAGGACTTAGGACTTTTTATATATTTTAGAATTGCAAGGTTGGAGATGGAGGGAGGGTGTGTAGATTGCCATATACACTATATATAGGTTTAAAAGTTTTTTTTAAATATTTAAAATACTAAATACTAGAGGAAATGTGAGTTGTTAAAAGGGGATACTTGTCGATCAAAAGCTATAATTTATTTTCATTTATTCTTTTTACTTTGAATTTTGAATAAAGTAGTCTAAGCAAATAGAAATATTTTTCTAAATATGAAGTTTATTTGCTTTTTTACCTTCGGTAAAGAGTACTTCCTGCTTTAGCATTTAAGGACTGGTTGCAGCAGTGGGATTCATATTCTGAGATCCATTCCTGATAATTGGGTGCCTGAAGCATAGGTTAAAAAAAAAAAAACACAAGGTGCATATCATTTTAATAATTAGGAGGGGACAGAATAGAGTACAAAGTGGGATTCATGTACGATACTAATATTCTTGACCAATATTTTGTAAGTATGCCTGATAAGTTAGTTTCAAATATATGTGGACTTCCATTTCTGACATTTTGGCAGAATGAAAAATCTTAGAAGTGCTGGATAAAACATGATAAACATTATTTTAAATGTATATGCTCCCAAAAAATAAAGGAAATCCCCAGAGGATAAACTATAAACTACTTTGCCCCCAGGGGTTTTACTGTCACCAAAAGGCATAGATTTTATTAGCAGTATATAGGTGGGAGGCAAGCCTTGGGCTTGCTTGGAGTCAGAATTAGATCTAAGACTTGGTCCCCCCTTGACCCTTGGCCTAAAATCCAAAAGACCAGACTCCCAATCTGACCCTGGCTATTGGAGGGAAAAATCTATCCTGAAAATTGCTAGTCACAGTCTCACCCTCACTGAAATTTGGGGTATGAATTTATTGCTCCCTGCATGATCCAGAAATTTCCAGTCTGAATGATTCACAGGATGGTCCCTGTTCATAATCCTGGACTCCTGGCAGAGACAAACAACTTCTCTGTGGGCAGATACTCTCTATCCAGGCTCACACATGATGTCTACCTAACTTATGAAATACTAAAGAAAATAATGTATGTGGAGTCAGCAGATGAATCAGACCTCTGAGAACTTTAGATAGTAGAATTGTTGGATATGGGCTATAAAATGGTTTAAAGTATATTTGAAATGCTTAAACAAATAAAAAAATACTTATTACCTTAAAAATAAGATAATATCAAAATAGACCATAGATATTTGAAAAAAGAATAAAATTGAACTTTTACAATCAATATAGGTTTTAGAATTCAAAAATCAATGGATGTGTTAAGCAGCTGAACAGAGGTTTGATGAATTGGAAGAAGATCAGAAAAAATTACCCAAAAAGCAATACAGATAGAGGACGGGACACTGTGAAAGTTCAAGTTTAATAAGATGTGGAGTAAAGAATGAAAAGATCTAACACGTTTCTCATAGTTGTTCCAGAAGGAAATGATAGAGAAAATAGGGGAAGCAATTTTCAAAAAGTAAACTGGAATATGTATGAATGTGGGTGGTTAAAATTAGTGGCATCTCTGGTAAAAATGTAATATTACCTATGGTACTGTTGTGAGACTTTCTTAAATCCTGTTTTTCCTGCAAAATAGCTTTTAAAATTATGTGTACCCAATAATGTATTATTAATCAAAGAGCTTTAGAGTTAGAAGGATTCCAAAAGAACCTTTTTTTTTATTTTAAGAACTTTTGGTATCGCCAGAAAAGTTAAGAGAAAAGTTAAGAACTGGTCTAACCCTGCAGGACTCATAACAGAGCTATAGCTAGAAACTAAGTCTCTTGATTCCAAGCCTAGTGTTCCTTCTCTACATTTTGCTAAATATTTTGCACGTTTGATCAGATTTTCAAGATCAAAAGTTTAGATGTCAAAGCACTTTGGAAAAAGCTAAAGGTAGTTATAAGGCATTGCTGATATATTATAAGCAGTTCTTTTAACTAGTAATGTTTTTAATAGGATTATTGATGGTTTTTTTCATGTTGCTTTATCAGAGCAAGATACGTGAATTACATCAAAACATCAGAAGTGGTCAGACTGCCCTATCCTCTCCAAATGAAATCTTCAGGCCCACCTTCTTACTTTATTAAAAGGGAATCATGGGGCTGGACAGACTTTCTGATGAACCCAATGGTATGTATCAAGCTATGACAAAGTATCTTTACCAATTTCTAATTTATTTCGAGGCAGTTGAAAACTTCTAACTTTTATGAAAAAGAAAGCCTTGTCAGATTGTTGGATGAAAGGATTATTGTGAATAGTTTATGGATTTCAGGAAAATAGTAGCTTTGGGACAGCGTAATGAAAAGAATAGTAGTGAGAATGGCACGGTAGATTTGACATTGAAGTGTGCAACAGAGATTGAATAAATACTTTTGTTTAAAATGCAAATGGAATGAGTATGTGGTAAGTCACACACAGAGCTAGTAGTCTCATCCTTCAAGCTACCTGCATATTAGTCCACTGATGAATATGCCGTCATTTAATAAATTGCCCCTATTGATGGCACAAGTGAGGTTTTTCCCTCTTTTCTGAATGTGTAGTGAACAGAGAAATTACTCTGTGGTAATTTAAGTATTTGGCACTTTCATGAAACGATGTTTATGGTATTCACTAATATAAAATACTAAGCATAATTGTTTAGAAACAGGTTGACTTTTTTTTTGCTGTTTTTGAAAGTTAAATTATTATTGAAGTGTTGATCATATTTCTTGCTGATAGCACAAACAGGAATGTTTCAGGCTGTACATCCTTTGAGAGGAATAAATTAGTACCCAAAACCTGCAGTTAGGCATAAAGAAGCAGGAGGATAGAAAGGATGGGAGAAATCAGCAGTGAGACTCCAAAGCTAATTGAGAAATATCTTCCATGTTCTCATTTCTGAGATTACATGGAAACATATCCAGTGCTGCAAGCTCCTAGGTTATTTTTTTTAAACTTGTCAGCTATTTAAAGAACAAAACAACAATAACAAACCTTGTCTGCTATAGTAGTTGCCTAGCACTATATTTCACATTAATTGGTGGGGGTAGGGGACAGATATCATGTTTTCTCCAAGAACCACAAACCATCTGGAGGGAGAGCCCCACTGGCCATCAGGATCAGCAATCTCAATGCCAGACTGCAGACTGAAGAAAGTGAATGGACAGCTCTGTGTGTAAACTATTTGTGTTAGGTAAACTGTACACTGCAGAATGACAGGTAGCACAGAAAGGAGGAAAGGTGTCTGTCAAGTCCACACACTTACAGGTAAGGCTCTCATTCTCTACAGCAGCCAGATATTCAGGAGCAGGATCATTCAGGAGAATTAAAGTGGGGGCTGCTAGTTTTATTCTATATACAAGATTTAATTTCATCACTGGTTGTTAGGTGCAGATTTTGTTCTACTGTTAAGTGGGGAAAACATTTGCTGATCTTTCTTTCACAGGTTATGATGATGGTTCTTCCGTTATTGATATTTGTGCTTCTGCCCAAGGTGGTCAACACAAGTGATCCTGACATGAGACGGGTAAGATGACTGAACCATGTTCTGATGCCTAGTCCATCCATTGTGGCTGAGTGGCTTGGGTTTTTTCAGCTTTATCCTAATTCCCAAGCCAAATTCATGTACAGGTTGTGTTGACCCAGTCTTATGTTCCTGGCACTTAATTAATTGTTTCCTTTGGACTAGATAAATTTGGTTGTTTCTGCCTGATAAGAGCTTAGGTCTCCTCATACAGCTAAAACATTCTGCTTAGTACTTGCCTTCTTGTACCTGACTTGATAAATAGTTGAAATGCATAATAATCCTGGTATACCTAACCCAAATATTGCACAAAATGGTAGCTTCTTATGATCTCTTTACTTTACAAAACTCTTTGGAGTATTCATTTAGTTTATGTGTTCAGACACACAAAAGAAATTTTGATAGACCAAGGAAGAAAAATAGAACAGTCGTTTTCAAACTCTCTGCAGTTTTCAAACTGCAAAACCAACTGTTTTGGCAAAGGGGAGGGGAGTTGCCAAGTAAGGTGCTTCAAATTTAGTGCCACCACTTTGTCTCTTTTAAATATTGGCTTCCATATAAAAGCTTCAGAGGTTTTTAAAAAACATTATCCACTCTTCCACCAAAAAACCATCAACAAATATCTCCCAAGTCCCAAGTTTTTCCATTGTATTTAATGTATTGATACATTTGCACCTAATTCATCACTAAAGAAACATTTATTAATTAATTTTTAGGTTCTGGGTACAAGGAATTCGAAAATGGATTATATGTTAGCCCTGTCATCAACAAGCCCATAGTCCAGTTAAATGTAGGAGATAGGATAGATTTATAAGGCCTTTTCTTACCATCAGAGGATTTTGTGTGTTTGTGTGTGTGTGTGTGTGTGTGTTTTAAATGCAAAAATAAGACATGTATAAATAAAAGTGTTTACCGAGGTAGTAGGTGATTAAGTTCTGTAGAAGGTGAGGCATTTATTCCAAGCTGGAATGGCGGAAAAAGCTTCATGAAAGAAGAAAGTGTTAATGATGTCAAAATTCCTTTTTGCTAAATTTTGGTGTCTTTGCCCCAGTGTTGGTCAGGAAGTATACATCCTGTACAATCCTGTATCTGTTAAGCCAGTTAACTCTGTATGATATCAATGGAAGGAAACATTAGAAGCCACATCACATTAAACGCTCATTCCTTACAAAGTGCTTTACATGGTAAGCAGTATAAAAACTTATTGATTCAAGAGCTTCAGAATTGTACAGTTGCAAAAATAGAGTTGATATATTTTTGCAGGCACTCAAGACCTATTATTATATCAAATTAATTTAATATTTAATTCTTGATTATTAGGGCATTTTAACATATTTATGTTTATAATGTTTCTTTTCCTCACCTTATTTATAAAAGCACTTTCTCCTTGAAAACTCATACATAAATTCTATCTTTGGAGAGAAAATCCAAGCCAATAATTGAATAAAAAGTTGAATTTTAAATGATAGATAATAGAATGTTGCTATTTTTTTTTCATGTCTGAACTAATACAATCTTAAGTTCACTTTTGGAATGTCACATGTAATTCAGATGAAGCAGACATTACTTTATAGATTGTTGGCTAAGTAAGGGGGAGGACAAATCCTCCAAATAAAAGTGCCAAAGTCCTTATGAGGTCCTGCCTGGGACTGTTCGTAACATTTTTGTTGCTTGCTTTAGATGCTGTAATTGAGGTCACCCAAGTCATACAGTGTTCACAGATTTACTAGTAAGGCCCTTAGGAATCAAGTCTTAGAAACTATTACAGTTATCTGATACCTTGATATATGCACCTAAAAAAAGCATGCATGTAAGAAAACACTTGTTAAAACAATAAGAAAGTATTTTTATCAAAAAACAAAGTAAAGCGGCAGGAATATAATTGTATATGTCCATTATCAGAGAAAACGCCCTTTATAAAAACATAAACTGAATCAAACCCTAGGCGACGTCTGTTGGATATTTACTTAAGATCAAAATGCTTAGTGGTGTAAAGGAGGCACTAAGCATGGTTTCTGAAGTGCTGTTGGGGATGACATGGCATCATTGCTCACAACTGGTACCTTTTACTTGTTCTGTTCCTCTCCTTCCTTAATAGAAGTGTTAGTTGTTAAATGGCTTGAAGGATCCCTGTGCCTTTCATATCATTGTGCTTTGTCTTCCTGCAGGAGATGGAGCAGTCAATGAATATGCTGAATTCCAACCATGAATTGCCTGATGTTTCTGAGTTCATGACAAGACTCTTCTCTTCAAAATCATCTGGCAAATCTAGCAGTGGCAGCAGTAAAACAGGCAAAAGTGGGGCTGGCAAAAGGAGGTAGTCAGGCAGGCCAGGGATGGCATTTGCACAAACACGGCAACACTGGGTGACATCCAAGTCTTGAGGGAAAACCATGTGAAGCAACTACTGTAAACTTGAGTCATCCATAAAGTTGATCTCTTATAACTGTTGTGTGTGGTAACTCTTCAGCACATGTTTTGTACTTGGTACACAAGAACACTCAGCTTTTGTCCTTTGTCTGTATGAGGTCGATATTGATGTCACTGAATTAATTACAGTGTCCTATAGAAAATGACATTAATAAATTATATGAAGTACTATACATTATGTATATTAAAATAAGTCTTAATCCAGAGATAAAATTATTTTGTCATTTTTTTTCCACTTAATGTTTTTTATTCCTGACAGTTTTCTTCTTTCATTATCTGAGGCTTGAACATGACCCCCTTTCTGTTTAAAAAGAAGTGTGATATTTTTAGAGCAGCATGCACCGTGGTTTTTTGTGTAATCAGATGTTTCAAAATTCTCGGTCCTGCCCTGCCATTTTATATTCCCTGATATTTGAAGTAGAAACACATGTTCCTGATGTAGTTTAAATTTTTATTTTTACAGTTGGTTTCAGAGTATGGATATATGAATTAGAATACATGTTACCGATTTTTAAATTGCGGTTTCCATCTGTGGTTTCATTTTAAATTATTGTATATCAGCTATGTGCTGTGATTCAGGGCAAGATACAGAGATGGATAATATCCAGTGCCTGTCCTCAGTCGGCTTTATTGTGTAGGGGGGAAGCACAGATTATAACAGGGAGTGAATGGCCAGGGAAAGAAGTGCAGCAGTAGGAGAGCCTTGTAGCCTGAGGGTGGAAAATCAACCTTCGCGTTCTGTGTTGTGATGTTGGTAGTACAGCAGAGGTAGCTTGAAAATCTCTTCATCTCTCCCAACGTTGATCCTCAAAGTTGTTGAATATAAATTACTACTTTCCATTCAGGAAGATCTCAAAAACCTTTTATGTCAGTAAGTTACAAAAGTTCACACCTTTTCTTTTGGTTGTTTTGATTAAATAACTCTGAGGCTACAGTATTGCTTCTAGCACGAGGCTCCTTATCCTCTCCTATGTTGAGCTTCCCTGTTGCATTCTTAGAGTTATTAAATCAGCAAAAAACAGCAACAGAAGGATTGGTTCCAAACTGTTGTTTTCCCTTTTGTAATAGGTGCCATTGTTCGTTTTGAAATGAGGTATGTGAGTTTTCTTTTAAAGAGATAAGTTCCAATGCAGGACACTTTTTAAACTGTATCTCTGTATAACATGCACTAAAGTTACCACACTGGTTAAGGTATGAATGATTAAGGTGGATAAACTAGTTAATGGTAGAACTAGGTCTTTTAAAATAGTCATTTATTGAAAATAACTAAAATATTAGAACACTAGTTGAATGAAAGTTGCAATTCAAAGGAGCCGGAATATAGTAAGAGTTGTATGACCAGAAATCATATCCAAAAATTTTTAAATTTGGATTGTCAATATTTGCACATGGAATGCCTAATAAGCTAGAAATTAGAAAGCACTTCCAAGGTAATTACCATTTCGTTTGCTAATTAAGAAACTATGTGTGGTTATTTTACATAGATTCTAACACAATCTGAATATTTTATATATATATATATATATATATATATATATATATATATATATCCCTTATCATAGTACAGAATGTTATTACATCATTCATATATGAAAAATCTTATCTTTGCCTAGACCTTTCATCAAATGCTTAGTGTGCCTACAGGTACAGAAATGATTGTATATTATTAATTAGATAATATGGAGTTGAGTGCAAAGAGCCCCCATTTAGCTGCTAACTTGCTTTGTGACTTTGGGCAAGTCACTTCCCGTCCTTGGACCATGTCTTATCTTGTTTGTTGTATTTCCAGCATTGAGCATGTAGGCACATAATAAATGTTTGTTGAATGAATAAATAAATGGGCCTCAAGTTTCCTCATCTGTAAATTGAGGGATTTGGATTAGACCTGTAAATTACTTTTCAGATCCAAAATTCCAATATAATTTTAACCCAATTCTATTATTTCCTACTCTTAAGAATTGAATGATTGGTGCCAACTTTTTCTTTTTTTACTTCCTTGGTTTCTTTCTGCTATTCCCCACTTGGAGACAAAATATTATTTTTGTTTTTCTTTAGGATCTTAGTATCTCTTTTTAAAAATAAGCTTTGTGTTTACAATTTTTTTTCTCATCTGCTAAATTAAACCTGTTTAGTGACTTTGTGGAAAACAGATCTTTGTTGCCCATTTTTGCTAGGAAATCCTGAGTGCCCAGGCTGGATTCATCGCTCCCAAGTTTTCAAGAAGTCTTTTAGGAGTCAAAACCTTGGGACTCATCTTGAGCCTGGTTAAAATTTTGAAAAAATTCGGCATTTTAACTGACGTGCCCAGAGTAGTAAAGTATTCTATCATTGTTTTCTTATGTTTCCTCTGACAGGAGGGAAGAAGCAGCCATTCAGCCTACTTTTCAGTAATTGGAAGGGCTTCAAGGTGGGAATCTTTTTCATTAAAGTAATCACTCAGACTTTCAGGAAGTTTGAGGATTTTTTAGTGTTCAACTGAAAAAAAAAAACCTATTGAAAATATTTTTATTAAATATTTTAAAAATTAAAACAACTATTTTCATTTTTTTAATTGCCTTCCAAGTCACACATAGACATATTTTTGCATGATTACAGTCAATTCTTTAAAAATTGGGCAAAAAGTCACTTTTTAGGATAGTTTTTATATGCATTTTGTATTTAAACCCAACAAAAATTCTGCTAAGCACTCACCTCAGGGAACATAATACAGGCTGATGGCCCAGTCCTTTAGTGCAGTTCAAAGAGTGTGTTGAGGCAGGACTTAGTTGTACTGTGCTTTCCTTTTAGCATTTTTGGTGTGATTATTGTCATCAGAGTCAATTATTTTTTAATTTGTAAGGTATATGAGAATATCCAATTGGTAAAAGTGTTTATACAATTTAGGAGAACTTGAGGGTAGGTTTTGCAAAATTCAGATGTTGACTGTAAATTACGAACATTTTTTAATATTCCTGAAAAAAAGATGATGAAGTACTAAAATAGCTATTTTAGAATCCCCCCCCCCCAATTTAGCTTATCTCTCCTCCCACAGTAGCACAGCTTTATCATGGGAGCATAGGGAACTCAAGCCTCTCACAGTGGCTTCAGTCTGGTAGGACTGAGCCAGCCTGTGCAAACCTGAGAAGAGGGAGGAGTAAATTAATAAGGTCAAGTGGTAAACAAGTGGAATGGGTAGAGCTGTAAAAACTAGCTGTGCACAGTATTTCTAACAGAAAACCTCTGACAAGGCATTTAATTCCACTAAAATTTAATAAACTAGTAATTATTGAAGATTCTTATATCTCCTTAGGTGATGTTGAAATAGAATTTTCCATATATATATAAATGAGAATGTAAAGAATTCCACTCAGTGAGCTTCTACTACATGTATTTGAATATTTTAAAACATTTCTAAATAACTACAGTAAAAAAATCTGAAAATATTTAGAATTAAATGATCATGAAAATTTGGTATGCAGATTAAGCAATGGAAACATTCTTAAAGTGTTATGAGGTAATTCATAAGAGACCATGAGGTGTATAAGGAAAGCTTCCTTGTAATCACTGCTGTCATGGAATTTTGTGTCACACAAAGGAAAACAAAATTTCGTTTCGCACTTGTCTCTCCACAGGCCTAGATGGACCTGCCTTCCCACTCATAACTGGTTGGACTGAGGGTGGGACTTGAGCCAGTCAGTTGGGTGGTGCTGGATCAGAGAAGGCAGTATGCTGATCCTGAGTCACAGGTAAGCAGAATCAACAATGAAATCTGCACATCTAAGGAAACTGGCCTGCAGAAGAGAGTACGGCAGACGCCCAAGTGGGAGAAAGCCCATGGTGGTCCCAGAGTTCGCTGGAGCGAGTAGCTGCTGGACAACCTTTCAGGTCCATGGAGTTGAGCTGCTCTTCCTGCAGGGAGTTGGTGAATGCTCTTCTCCACCATCTCCACCCTAACCCCTTATTTAATATCTGTCTGCATTTGGAGAATACCATGGCCAGTTTTAGCCTCTATGATAAGATGTGCAGAGCAGGTCTGGAGAAAAGCTGCCAGTGATTAATGTTGATACTTTCTATACAAATGATTCTACTGACCTCATGACTATATTAACTAGATATACTTTAAGAAGGATTAAAGTGGCTGTAATTTTTAGTTTGGTAAAGAGGGTGCTGAGGGGATTTTTCAAATCCTTGATAATCCCTTTAAAGCATATTCTGATGAACTATGTACCACTATGAAGTCTGAGAAAGGACATGGACTTAAATTTCAGCAGAAGGAACTAGCTTGTGGCTGTGAAGAGAAATTTCTTGGCATGGTAAACAAAACTGTGAGGTGCTGGTGACTGTGAGATTTACTCTTCTTTTTGTTCGTAAAAAATAGGGCAAAAGTTACCTCCTAGGATGGTTTATATGTAAGTTTCCTCCTATCCCCAGAAGTAAATTAGTTTACTCCCAGAATGTGAGGAATGGTAGGATCAATACTTCATAGAGGAGGAAATGAGATACATCAACAAAATTGGACAGGAGGGAAGGGCTGAGGAAAATCTAAACTCTGACAGTAGATTTCCTTCCTTTAATGTACATCTGTTGAGTTGTCATCCAGCTTGCCCCATAACTGGTTCTCCCCAAGGAGGCGTGCAACCCAAGGAAGCATTCCCTCCGCAGCTATATTTGTGGTATGTGGCTCTGCTTTTACGGCATCTCACCCAGGTTGGGCCAAAGGCTGTTCCTTAGAAATTTGAAATTAAAACTAAGGGACTAAAGGAGGAGATGGCAGCATAAAAACCTGCAAGATGTTCATGGCTATTTATTCTATCATACACACTACAGAAAAAGAGAAGACAGGTTGCAGGGAGAAAATATAGAATGAAGCAGTTGCACAGAGAGGAGCTGAAATGAAAGATGAACTTTGAAATTCAAATCCTTTCCTGAGGTAGCTGCGCTCTGGCCCTTGGCTTCCATAGCACTGCTGTATCCTGTAGTGTAGTGTTTCTGTGGGACGCCAGCTCCAGTGAGTGTCTTTCACTTGAATCCAAGTGTCCTAACTTACACACTTCTCCGGAATTGACCAAAATGATCTCCAGCCTGCTGAAAGCCTTCTCCTTTTTCCTCAGTCAATGCAGAATTGGCTCTGTTGCCTCCACACCCATCTTGAATGAATGGGTCAGAAGGAACTTCCTGAGGTAAGGGAGAGATCGGGTAAACACTTGTCCTGCCCTAAGCTACCCCTGAGCTATACCCACCCCTAAAATTCGTTTAATATCATGGAGCCCTCCCAGTCCGAACTAACTGCTGCCACCTTGAACTTGAGGCTCTTTTCTGTCCTCACTGCTTGAAGTTTTATGTATAGAAATATGGATGTGACCTTATGTATTTGATTTTGAAAATGTCCTTGCAGAATCCTACTGACAACCTCTCTCATTTCTGCACAACTACCTGACCTCTGCCTTGAGAAGGGGTTGGGTTATAGAATAGGAAGTTTAGGCTAAATCCAGACAGGGGAGGAGTCCTTTCTGAAAGGCATAGTATCTTGGCTTGTAGCCCAGGTACTGGGAACCAAATTGGAAAAAAAGCCTGGAGGATTGCTTGTGAGAGCTTCTAAGTGGAATGTTGAATGTAATCCACATTCATCTTGTCACTCTTACCCACCTTTTCTTTTCAATCACGTTACGGTTCTACCCTTTGTGGTTCATATTTCAGTGCTAGTTTCCCCTTCTGGGCTAAAGAGCAGGGGGAAAAAAGGAGGCCTGGAGAAGGGAGAGGGGAAATGTTTGTACTTGGGGAGGGGGAGAGCCTCCAGCCATCATTGGAGTGATTTTGTTTGTACCGTCATTCTGTCCCTCATTCTGTTAGTCTGGGTTCTTGGAGGCAGAGACAGTATCTTACTCCCCTCTACAACCCCAAGATTCCCACAGAGATCAATAATTACTTGCTGAACAAATGAGTAACCAAAGGAGTAATCAAGTTTCCTGGATGGTGGTTCTTGGATCTAAGAAGATGGTGAAAGAAAGAAGGTGGAAAGGTTTGGGGCATTTGGAGGTGACAAGTAGGAGAAAAAAAAATGATTGTCAGAAAAAATGAAACAAGGGTTACTGATTTTGACCAGTACCTATTCAATGTGGGCATAAAACCCCCCCCAAAGTGCTTTCCTTAACACTTATAAGAAAGTGTTCGGGATCAAATTAACAGTCCATTCAGCCTGATTACAGATAAAAAATAGCTTAAGGTCTTTTGTCCTGTTCTGAGATATAGACCCTCAGGGCCCCCGAGGGGTGATACTGGGAGTTTAGGAAGGGAACTTCCATTTGCAGACTTTCTGAGCTGCACTCTGAGGGAACGTGCCCTCAGCTAGGCTCCAGATGTGTGGGCCTAAAGCTTCCAGAGGTGCTTCTTGCACACATAGAAGGAACCTTACAAATCTGGTTCCATACCTTTAGTTTCCTATATTTTTATAGGTCAGGAGAGCAGAGGCAAACATGCATTTAAAAAATACTAGTTGACTGTCCTATGACAGGGCCGCCTTGTCCTGCCAGTTCTCTGTGATAGAGTTGGGACACTGCAGTCTTCTCGGCAGGGGCTCTGAATTGCTTCCCATTTGGTACTACCCAGCACTGGTCTACTGTTTGCTCTTCTATAAAAAAGGGAATGTTTTCTTGGTTGGTTACTGTTACCAGTTGATTTATGTCTCCTGAAAGTATTAGGGGTCTAACCCCCAGTACCTCAGAATGTGACCGTATTTGGAAATGGAGTCTTTATAGAGGTGATCAAGTTATAATGAGATCATTAGAGTGACCTAACCCAATATGACTGGTGTCTTTATAAAAGGGTAAAATTTGGACACAGAGACAAACACACAGAGAGA